CCCCCCAATTTGCACAAAGTGTAAATAGTATACTGGATCCAGTTTTTCTTTTTTTTCTTAGTGGCAGATACTATTTGCTACTCATTGTAATGTATTTCATTACAAAAACAGTATGCAGTAAAACCAAAATATTATAATTATATGATCATATTTATTAGAATACAGATATAATCCAATGCACGCTCCGAACTTCTGATTCAAAACCAAAGATCTGCAAAGGTTTCGAAGCTTCATGAAGCATTGTTTGAGAAAAATCTCCCATCCCATTCAGTGTCAGAATTGTAAAATGTATCACCAGTTATAAAATCAGTGTAAGATAAAGAGCTCATAATATTTTGCCTGACCACGATGAATATAAATGTTTGCTCCTTTCACTGATCCTTTGCTTGAAAAAAATCAGTTTCAGGCTCCAGTTTGTACCCAGTTCATAAAAAGTGTTTGGTATATTATTTATATAACGTTATTTCACAGCTTTTAAGACTTTGCTAATTACAACCACTAAATCTAATTGAAGACGGTTTTAAGTTCTATAACCTTAATGTTCTTCAGCATCATAAATGTAGAATCAAGATTAAACACCAACCTCTTTGTTCTTCAGGATCTTCATGTTCCATTCTGCAGGATTCTGGGTCACTCATGTTCTCAGTCTTCTTTCATGAACTCTATTTCCTTCACTTGTGGGAAGATTCCAGCATTTATTAGGGAACTGTGGGAGGAGCTTCACTGGTGAGTTGTTGTGGGAGGAGACTCACATAAAGTGGATTGATGTGTATAAGGAAAAGCAGATCTGCCAAAATAAAAAAAGAAATAAAACAATAAATAAAAATAGTTACTGAGTCAGCTACACACAGCTTAGGCATTTATATTTTGTGTTTATCTATCAATTTATGAAAACGTAACAGTAAGTTATTACTTATTTCTGTTTTGTTTGTGAATCATCTAAACATTTAATTCCATTTTTATCCTTTTACCAACCGTTTGAACAAAAGAAAAGAGATATAGAAAAATATACATTCATACCACAATTAAAATAATCCAAATGTAAAAAGTATGAATAAAAAAAACAGAAGAACAAATTCAGAAATAAATGTATAGATTTGTAAGCAACAAATAACACATAGCCTACTCTGAGTGCAACGTCACGTAGCTAAGTTTTTGTTAATTCGTTTTTAAATTTTTCTTGTTTTTATATGAAACGTGGTTTATCACAGACTATAAAGAAATAAATGCTTCATCATTAGATTATAGATTCATTAGATTTATGTCTTCTATGTATGACAAGTCACATAGTTGGCCTCAATGTGACACCAATAAAATGAGCTTTAACTGGCTGTTTACAGGTGATCTAAAGACATCAGCATAATGAATGAGGCGAAAACAGTAACTATTGACATTCAATATAGAGGCATTTTAGCATGTTAATAGTGACACTTCTAAACCAGCTCATCAGCAGAGATCTCACTTTATTACTCTCACTTTGTAACTGTTTGTGGAAGAATCAGATTATATGACACTATCTTTAAAATAGCTTTTCTGCTTCCTTTCTGCTGGAGACTGTTTCATTAACCGTTACACGTAAATAACAATAGCAGCATATGTCCATATGAATCGAAATATAGATTTTCTAATAACTACATCCATAACAACCTCATTAGATTTTAATGTCTGTGAACAAATAAAACCATAGCTTTATTGAAGTCATTGTTATTGTTTATTTGAATTTATATCTTTTTTATTGTGTCTGGTTTGTATAATATTGATTATAGACGTTAATATATTCCACATTGCTTATAGGTATACTGTGTCGTGGGTGTGCTGGATGATTACTGACATACATTCTATTTCTGTTGAGAAACTTTATTGGCAAACCAAAAACAAACATTCTGGGAACTAAAATCAATCATTCTGGGTATGTTTTGGTAACCAAAAATTGACTTTGACTTTGTGCTTTGGGTATGCGCTTAAATGGACAAATATACACCAAAATATTGCCTTGGTGATAAATAATTTGCTTCACTTAAATACATTCACTTATGTTTTAAGGGAACAAACAGTTGGGAAAGTAATTGAATGCTTGTCAGCATATTAGATCTGTGCACTCAGTCCTTAAATAATAACAGCCAATAAACCTGCTGCTGTCGCTGTCATTTATTGTTAATCAAGCAACAAAAGAAAACGAGATTTCTTCATTGCTCTTCACTGAATAGTTTTAGTAGCTTTAAAAAACAATGTGCTTAATTCAAGAATATGCGTTGTTTTATTTTTACATTTGAATTCAATTTTTGTATTGTAGGCAATTATTTCAAGTAGGCCAAATTGTTTATTTAAATTTGTTTTTTTTTTCTATATTTTATTTGTCCTATTGTTTGTAATTTTCCTCCTTTTTTACTGTTTCAACTGTTTGTTGACTTGTTAGCCCACATTTCACAGCTTTATGCAACAAAAATATTTTGTTTAGATATAATGTGTAAGTGTTAAAAATGAATAATTTTAAACATTTTGAATTCAGATTCACTTTATTCTTCACAATATAATTCTTTGTTAGGCTACATCCATGTTATGATTTGAGTGTGACACGTTGTAATAATGAATAATTCTGTTCTGTTATCCATCTACAATATTAATCAACACAATTACAATATCAAGGGAAACAAAAATTATGATTTTTGTTCATAATCGTGCAGCCATGGCATAGATATTAGAAGTGTTATCACTGCTCATTATCACATCACAATGCAACATTAGCCTAATTGACAAAATCAACTGGAAACATACATTTGAGCTGAGTTACTATGGTCTAGAACTGTCATTGCTTGTCACAGTGTGAACACTTGTAAGGTTTTTCTCCAGTGTGCTGCAGTTTCAGTTCACCCTCTGTAGTAAAAGTCTTCACACACACAAAAAATATATCCTTCATATTTTCGTCTTTTCTAGTGTAATTAAAAAGTACCCCGCAAGAAAAAGTCCACACAAGATCCACACGAGTCTGAACTTTAGGTGGTTTTTCTGGGATGTTGCCCAAAGAAGAAATCTCTGGGTGGACCCTATCATGTGTTTTCATATTTCCTTGCCAACCAAATCTCATGTCACAGTGTGTCACAGGCTTCTCCTCTGTATGAACTTTTAGGTGGCTCTTCAAGAGTAATGCTGAAAGAAACATTTTTCCACACTGATCACAGTAAAATGTTTTTTCTCCAGAGTGAGAACGCAGATGTAATTTAAGAGAGATGGCATGTGCAAAACTCTTCCCGCACTGATTACATGTATAAGGCTTCTCTCCGGTGTGGATTTTCATGTGAACCTTAAGATGTCCTTTTTGTCTAAAACACTTTCCACACTGATCACATGTGTGCGTCTTCTCTCCAGTGTGGATTTTCATGTGATCATTGAGCAAATTTTTTACTGCAAAGCTCTTCCCGCACTGATCACATTATGGCTTCTCTCCAGTGTGTCTCCTTTGTTCTTCGGTGTCTTCTTGTTCCATTCTGCAGGGTTCTGGATCACTCATGTTCCCAATGTTCTGTCATGAACTCTATATACTTCACTTGAAGACTGATGAGAATTTTTCAGCATTTATTAAGTTGGCTTGAGAAAGCCAACTTACTGAAATATGACTTACTGAAATCTGACTTAAACTTACATTTTTACATTTTACATTATTATTATTCTTCTGAGACAAAAATTTCTGACTCTAACTCCTCCTAGAGCTTCAACTCTACAAAATCCAAATCTATCTATCCATAATCTGACTATTTCTATCTATCTATCTATCTATCTATCTATCTCTCTTTATAGCAACACTCTAGCAACTGTCCAAACCAACCTAGCAACCACCCCGGGTACCCAAGCAAACGCATAGCAACACCCTAGCAACCACCTAGGGTACCCTAGCAACACCCTAGCAACTGCCCTGGGTACCCTAGCAACTGCATAGCAACACCTTAGCAACCACCCCGGGTACCCTTGCAACCGCATAGCAACACCCTAGCAACCACCCAGGGTACCCTAGCAACTGCATAGCAACACCTTAGCAACCACCCCAAGTACCCTAGCAACCGAATAGCTACACCTTAGCAACCACATGGGTATTCTAGCAGCTGCATTTCTATCTATCTATCTATCTATAGTCTGATTCTATCTATCTATAGTCTTGATTCTATCTATCTATCTATCTATCTATCCATCTTCAGTCTGATTCTATCTATCTATCTCTGACAGACTGTATTGCCTTCAAAACATTCAAACTTTAAGCTTTTAAAACTACTTTAAACTTCAAACTATTTCAGACTGAAAACCATCAAACTTAAAACTTTTTAAACTTTTTAATCTTTTCAAACGTTTTAAAAATTTCTGGTCCGGCTTTCTCAAGCCAACTTAAAGTTTGTCTTGACCAACTTTTGTATCTAGTTGATGAATTGCTGTGGGAGGAGCTTCAATGAAGGTAAATTACTGTGTTATAGGAGCAGATCTGCCAAAATCAAAAATAAATCAGTTACTGAATTGATGTTTTAATTAATTCACATAATTTAAGCATTTGTGTTTTGTTTATCCATCTATGAAGAAGTAAAGTTACTGAATTTGTTTCTACCAAAAGTTCACATTCTATGTATTTCTATTTTGTTTGTGCGTTAAATATATACATTTTAATCAATTTCTTATCTTTACCTTTATTTTCCCTATCAACAAATAGACAAAGAGAAAATACAAACAGACAAATAAATGCAATTTTTAAAAATTCTAATAAAAAAAAAGTAAAAGTATGAATAAAAAAAGAATAATTAATTCAGAAATAAATGTAAAAATTTGTAACATATATCACTCCAATTGAATTCAACATCATATAGCTGTGCTTTTGTTCATTGGTGTTTAGATTTTTGTTGTTTTTACATGAAACATTGTTTCATAAATGTGGGGGTTTTGTCCTGTCACGTTGTGCCGTGTGCCACATCCAGTTTAGGCACAGCTTATAATTAAATAAATGCTGTCAAAAATATGTCTTGTAGATGTGATGATAGTGGTGGTGGAGTAGTTTGTTTCAGGCTGTTCACACCAAATAAATAATCGAAGTGGCATTTTACAGGTGATCGGAAGACATCAGCATAATGAATGAGGTGAAAATTTGAGCTATTGAAATGCATTATAAAGGCGTTTCAGCAGCTGTTAGTAGTGACAAAACAAGCCTTACAGGATCATCAGCAGAGATCTCACTTTATTGTACATGTTTGGACTAGAAATGTACTGCAATGAGTAAAAACTGCTCTATTATAGTATTATTTCTCTTAATATGTGTGATGATTTAAAAAATCAATAATACTTCAAAAACAAATAGAAACAACTTCCATCTTTACAGTAGTTTTTTCTGCTTCCTTTCCATGTTGAGACCATTTCATTAACTGCTACAGCACAATATATCAAGTGTAGTCAAGTCACCATTATTTATATAGCGCTTTTTACAATAGATTGTGTCAAAGCAGCTTTACAGTAGTGTCCTACTCTTAATCTCGCCATCACTATTTCTTCTCTCCTAGTCCCTCCCCAGTTCCTCACAGTACCAACTTTATTTTGAATAGCATACAATTGTCTTATATAAGATTAGTTCACCTCCCTAGTCTTTCACCTTTAAAAATCATTTTCACATACACATAAATAAATCATAAACATCTTA